AAATATGTATGTAGGTATATACCTATATAATCTAAAAACGCATGACATCGCATATAACCAGCGAAGATATCTTCTGCTGCCCTGTTTTTTTTCACAAACGTGAAATTTTCTACATACATATTTATGTATAACTATTGTATACATACATGCATGCTTGCTATAAACAACCCTGCAGAAAAAAATTATCAATTGGTAAAAAATAACCCACGTGTAGTTAGCGTTTTTGCGGTATTTCTATAAAATATATAACTTGTAGTTAGCTAAAAAAAGCTAACTTGAAACTAGTTGAGAGGTAATGCAGGAGTAAACGCATTTCTATTTAAATATCCTGCACTTCGCAAATACTTTTTCGAATTGAGGACAAATAAAAGGAAGATCGAAATTTCATATTACCATTTTGAAATTATGTCTGACGGAGGTCGAATATGGCACCACCTACAGCAGAATATGGAAACTATGAAATGTAATAAAATAAATAAAGTAAATAAAAATATAAAAATATTTAAGTTTTTGTCCAATACACAGAAATTGCTAGTGAATGCGTATGGCCTTAAAACGCCAAAATAATTGGGCAAGAAATTGCACATAATAGCATCATTTGTTATTAGCAAATTAGTAATTTGTTTTCAATCAAAAACATTTCTCTTCTCGCTGAGCTACTTTCGTACTCAGGCATCGTTGGCCGCGAGTTCAATTCGCGGTGGAGGCATCTGATTACAAATTTTTAGAGGGCCACAGGTAATTCCTAAATACTGTGCTCCAAAAATATAAATACTCCATAATTATGTTTTTAGTCCAAAAAGACCCTAATTTTAGTGATTTACTATCGATCAGCCAACGATTTTACGACGCTTATTCATAAAACATAATTTTTAAGGGAGCATTTGTATGCAAGTTTTCACTAAGTACATTATAATAATAGTGCGTAGTGGTATATCCCCCTTAAAATTACATTTTCAAACACCTTTAAGCCCCTTTTTTACTCATTCCCACCGTATGATAATTTACATTAGCAAACCTCCATAAAATTCTCTTCAGCACTTTATCTTATTGGATGTGTTTTTGGTGGGAGAAGAAAATCCTTAAAAATCTTCCTAAATATATATGCGAAATTTAAAACTCCATTCACTGCATAACTTGAATTTATTGTACTTTGTAACAACTTTTTCTGTTTCAAGGTTATTTAATATCGTTTCGGACTCATCAGCGCAGAGCAACCAATCAAGCATATAATCACTTACTTTGTACTTACAATCGCCTTAAAGAGTACTATGTACGAAAATTCTCAAGTACAAAGTGAACTGCAAAAAAATCAAAGTTAAGACAAGTATTCTTACGGTAAAGTGGGCAACAACGCAGGTGCCACTTAACAGTTTGGGAGCGTGCTTAAAATTTTAATGGCATACTTTTCATTTGATACGCTTACAACTTTTACGAAGGGATAATTTTCGACAAATTGTGAAGTGTCACCCGCTCAACTTGTCGTTGGCGTACATCTTATTGAATACTCGTATATATTTATATAAGTATGACAGTGCATGCATGCAGGAAGGTGCCATACTTTTTGTTGAAAGTGTTTGCTTTTGATTTTCCATTTACCTGCGCTCGGTTAATGTTTTGGAAATTTTAACCTTGATTACAACGTTGAGTATAATAGGTTAAAAAGCTTTTGGAAAGTTGTTATTCCCCACTTGTTCGCACTTAATGCATTTTGATATCTCTTTCGCACTTTACTATTCTTTTTGAGTTTCTGCGAAAGTGCGTTTGTTGGACTCTCAGTCGGGTACTCGTATTATGATTTTTGGTTGAAATTCCAGTCGTTGCAATTGGATAGTTAAGTGTATCATTTAGTTTAAGCAACCAAAAAAAAAATACGTTTTTCTGCGCCAATCGGAATATGGTGGCTGTTTTCTTACTGATTGTTATACAAAATTCAGTCGATTCAAGGTTCGACTTGAAAAAAGCTTTACTATAATTAAAAATCGCTTAGAACACTCAAAGTGCCGCTTGTATAACTCTTTGCGTTTGGTTTCTTCGGTGCTTGTGCTTTTGTTATGAATATTTGATTCGCTTCCGCGGTCGCACTGGGCGTATACGCAACATGTTCATGAATCATTCGTCTTGTCATGATTACAAGCAATCAAGTGCGTAAACTTTTGCCGCACCGGTAATTTAAGTCTGAAAAACAAGCAGTCAGAAACTTTTTAACAACAAACGCAAATATTTCCGTGAGTAAAGGCAAAAGGTTAGCTGACTCAAAAGCAAACCATCATTCTTGCCTACCTAGCTCGTTTACCAAGCGAGCGCGAGCACCAACATCAGAGTGCAAAAGAATAGGAAGAAAAAAAAATTCAATATCAAATTTGTTTTTTGTGGCGCGGTAGAATGTGGCAAGTGGCAAGTGTATGTTTGTAACAAATGACAGCAGCACTGTTTAGTTATTTATTTCATTCAAACCGAAGAGCAAAGTTTGACACTCATCTACTTTCTCTCTCACGCACGCACACACACATATGCATCCAAACAATCCCACTTTAGTTTTTATTTGTGTTGCGTGCAATAAAAGTTGAGCAGCTGAACTTAACAGCCAGAACTGTTCGAAGCACTTCCGTCCCATATCAACTGACTATCCGCTATTCCCGCAAGCCTACGAAGCCTTGCCCCCCTGGCGAAGGGCGATTGCAACAACTCGCTTCTGAACTCTCAAACATTATTCAAACGAAAAGTTAGTTTTAAATATGACAAACAAACAAAGAAGTACCAAACAAAGTTAGTGCCACAACATCAGACCAACAAACGTTTAGACTGTCCCTGCTTTTTTCTTGCGCTGTGCAGTTGTTTTTTATTTTTATTTTATTAGCTTCCATTATGGGGTGTGCTGCAGTGTATACATGGCTCAACAATGGCTTGGGTGGACACGCTTGTGAGCACATCTATATATTTTCGTACCAAAACACGCAGAAAAAAGTCAAAGTTTAATTGTGTGCAACATTTAAATGCTTCGCTGCCGATGCAACAGTTTGTATTGCTATAACCATATTGTCAATTCTATTAACTATGCACAACGTTTACTGCCACCACCAAAGTGACTACACTCATGCTGCAGCGCATCCGCTAACCTCGACTTTAAACTTTTTTAACCACCTACGTAATGTATGACCGAACACAAGTAACTTTTTATTGCTGGTCGGTTAGAATGAGGCATTAGAGCCTCGCGGCTAACTAATAGACACTAGTGTTGGAAAACTATCGATAGTGAATACATTCGATTATTTCGATAGTGGTAGTGCAAAATATTCGATACTATCGAAATCTAAAGCCCGGTTTTACCAATAAATTTTAAAATGTATCAAACTAAAAACTTAAAATAGCACGATCTCCTAAAAAATTTCGTCATTTTAAATTATAGCAGCCTTGCAAATTTAAAATGCATTGGTGAAACTATTTATAAAATTTTGTAAATCGGCAAATTTGATTCCATTTTTTATGGTCCAAGAAAAATTTGGCAAGTGATATGACAGATCCCATCGCATAAGACATAAGACAACAATAGCCAGGAAAAAATCTTATTCTTAAATAACCCATTTCGTAACTGCAAAAACCATAAAAATATCTTGTGTAAAAAAAATTAGATCGTGTATTTCAGTAACACATTTCATAAAAATAACCATGAAGAACATCTTTTATGGTCTAATTCTAACAATGTGAACAACATACAACTATCGATAGTGTTTAGAAAACTTCGATAGTCTCGAAAAAATGAAGTAATCGATACTATCGATATCCCCATCGATAGTTCTCCATCATTAATAGACACTTCACATAATAATTATTAGAATAATCTGTATGCTTACTTATTTATCAAAGGTACTTTTGGTATACCGAAGGATATATCCTTTAATATTTTATCGCATTACATAAATGATTGAGACCTAATCTTGAAGAGGAAAGCCTTCACACATATGAAAACGAGTCACGTTTTTTTTTCAAATTTAGTTATTTCTGAACGAAGGGGTTTAAAAAGCTAAAATCCCTATATCCGGGCAATCCATATCTCCCATAATACTTCATCAAATTTAATGAGAGAAAAATCATTCTGAAGG